AAAGAGAAGAACAATTTTTTTAGACTAATATTCAAGGTTGAATATTGCTTTCTTCTATTTCTTTTTGTTGTAAAGAAGCTCACCTCTTTGAAGAAGTCATCTGACAGAGCGACCATGATGCCTGCACCGCCTCTTGTGCTGTTCCCGCCATGAGCAAAATTGATGTCCCGAAAGTGATAAATCAAAATAATGTTTAACTAATTGGCATTTAGAAATTTATCAGGTGAAGAATCATAGGAAAGAGCAGAGCATTACAAATGAATCACATGTGGGATTTGAATCATAAAACACAAAATAAGAATTGTCATACGCCTCTGTCAATCATTATTATTGACTGTTGTAAAGCTAGTGTTATAACTGGAACAGACAACCATGTTAATCAAAGAAAAACTAAATGATTACTTGCTATCTTAAAAGTTTTAGTAATGTGCAGGAACAACGAAATTCCCTCCACCCATCATAGCTGCTTTTCTTTCAAATTCTCTCGGGTTTCAATGAACACCATTTTTTGTGAGCTTAAGGATGGAAATTTTGCCAATGAAATGCAGTACAATTGAAGAAGAAAATTGAAAAAAAAATAACTATAATATCCGAGAACAAACAGGTACAACTCCAATCACCTCAGCACCCATTCAAACAAGCTAGATACAATTTTTTTTCTTTGACAGAGACAAATGCAATTATGTGGCATCTAGAAGGAAACTGATGAGATGGCCATGCTGCATATAGGAAAGCTCCGGTCCTTGCTGCTATTTTTTATTCTCCTTTCTAGAAATGTTATGCCTAGGCCATAATTTGCTAAAACAATGAGTGCTTCATGTTGATATGAAAAAATAAGAAAAAATAGCAGTGGTTTACCTCTCAAACTGGTGACACAAGAATCCTACTGCTCGAGTTGCTAACACCTTTCTAATAAAATATTTCTTGCTTCATGCCTTCCTCCACAACTATTTGCATCTGCATAACCGTGTTAAGTAATATGTTGCTCTCCTCTGTACGCGTAGTAGGGGCAGGCGCCGAAAGGGCTCCCCTGCTGCAGCACTGTAGCCGCGGCAAGGGCAGACGTCGAAAGGCTCTCCTGCCGCACCGTAGCCACAGCAGGGACAGGCGCCAAAGTTAGACCTGCTGTCACATCTAGTCACTGTAGCAGCATGGCAGCCTGACATGTCTGTGCATTAGAATTAGATAGGTAGAGTTGTATTTATAGTTTCTCACTACAACTCAGTAAAGTGAGCGAGTTCAGTTTTACCATTTCCTCTATAGAGCTCCGGCCAACGCTGGTGCTTGTGCTGTGTGTGTGCTCTGTTCTCCCTTCCTTCTTCTATCTCTAGCCATAGCGTGTGATCGGCAACGCCGGTGACCGGTCAGCACACCCAGTGACCGGTCGGCTCACCCGTGCCGGAGATCCCGGGGCCAACAAACCGTAATATATCTCAAAATATGGATAGATGGTATTCTGTTGGTATGCCTCCAACATTTTGAAACTATAATCAAAATTCACAAATATAAATCAATAACTCAATATGTGTCGCTCAACCACCTGTTACCACCTTGTCTAACGTTTAACAATTGGAGAGCATATATTATTAACCAATGCTCCTCATGCACAATTATTAGGAAGCTACATTTCTTAATTGATACTATGTTTGTGCATATGAGGGTATTATACCATCTTGCGATTCCTGAAAGTGACTTGAAGAAGCAGACTGCAAATAGGAACTTGTGTTTGTTAATACATTTGTGGCAAAAATCAATAACAGGGGATTGAGCTGAAGACTAATCACTAATTCATCTCAGGATAAGTAATTACAATTTAAACTCAAGGTAAGTAATTTAATTACTAACTAAACTCGGGATAAGTAATGGTACTGTTTGTCCCTCCTTTTTTAGAAGAAAGTGCTTGGCAAGAGCAAATGTCCAGGCCTAGCCTAACAGACTCGTTTCTTAAAGCAATACCTTCAGCACAAGCTAGCAATTATTAAAATCAAATAAATATAGTACCCCTGAAACTGAACATCGACAAGCTAGGGTGTGTGTGTGCAGTGGCTAGCATTGAAGTGTTACATGGCTGGTGATGATTATTCTACTGGTGTGTTAGCGAGGGTACGATGATCGGCTGCCCGGCCAGTGGGTCAAGGTGCTAGCCCTCGGGTCGTCGGGCTTTTAGTCACTGAAATAAGAACACAGTAATCATATCTCGTCTTAAGGCCTGCTCGGCTGGTATTAAAGCCGGCTGATAAGCCGACTAAAGCTGATTTTTTATAAGAGAAAAATACTGATAAACCGGCTGATAAGTTCAAGCGATGAATAATTCAAAATAAAGTTCATATAGTAACCAATAAAGATACAAAATTTGCTTGTTATTCAGATCTAACCTTTATATGATAATTTGAAGATGCAGATTTAGTAGAACCAAACCCAAACACATGCCAATTCCAGTAAAAAAGCATGGGACAAGAAACCAAGAATAATAGGCAGGCCGGCCATCCAATAGTAGGTCCAAAACCAGAACTGCTGAACAGCTGGATTGCTGATGCTGAATGCCTGAACACCTGAACTGCAAGAGAGCAAGACTGCAACACATACTGCAACGAAGAAGAAATAAACGTGCTTGCATACGAGTGCCTGGCTGCGATGATGCAGCCAGCAGCCGCCTGCGCCTGCGGTCTGCCACACACGCCCGGTGCCACACTGCCGCCTGCCGGCCGCCGGGTTCCCGTGCGCCAGGTCGCGCCCGCCCGGCGCGCTAGGGCTTCAATCCACGGCTTGGTGAGGAGGCGAGAGAGAGAGAGCGCGCGCACACTAGGGTTTATAGAAGAAGAAGAAGAAGGAGAAGACGGAGAATGGGTGGGCACGATGGCGGCGGTGCGTGATCTAGCTGGAGGTGTGCGTGCGTGTGAAGGTGTTGGCCACCGGTGGGGCGGGGTGGACGGGTAGGAAATTCGGGTAAAGAAAGTTCCGGTGAAAAAAAATGCCGGTGTAAGATCCCGTGGCATGAACGCCTAAGATAAGGGGTAAGATGGACATAGCCCACCGTTAGATTAACGTGTATCATTAGATCTAAAGACAATTCATTATCCAACGGTTTTAAGGTGGGTATGAAATTTTAGGGGACAACTATTTTCCAATTTCTTCAATTATATATATATATATATAGATATAGATATAGATATAGATATAGATTATACATACGCCCATTACGATGAATTTACTCACTTGTCATGCACAAATTAAATTGTTAACTTCATATATCATTAGGAATATATCATTAACATCTTTTCTCCATTCAACTCTAAATAGGCCGTCTAAATTATAACATGAAATGGCCACCTAAATTATAAAGTTAAATTCCCGCAGCAACGTGAGGGGAATTCAACTAATTACTAATATTTATGATGTATCATTAGGTTGTGTTTGGTAAAGATGACAACGGGTAAAATCCGCGCGGATACTAGCCCCAGATATCCATACCCGCGAGCACAAATCCGTGCCCACGCCCGCGCCCGCTAACCGTCACGGGTAGAAAACCATGCCCGTGCCCGCTATCCGCGGATATCACATGCCCGCGGGCACACCCGTATACCCGCAAAAATAAAGCAACAAAGCACCCAACCATATCTTAATAGCAAGTAAGAAACAATATATCAAAAAATAAACGTATATATCTCAACATTAGATAAAGTATGACACATTGACCATACAAGAGTCATCAAAAGTCTACATTAGTGTATCTCAAGTCATCACAAATTAACACGAATAAAGACATACAACCGTATATAGAGTCATTGGCGCGGGTCTAGCGGGTTTGCGGGTGCGGATATCATTTTTCCATGCCCACGAGCAAATATCCATCGGGTTTAGAATCACACCCATACCCGTGCCCGTGGGCACAAACTTAAACCCATATCTATGCCCATCGGGTTTTCTATCCACGGGCACGCGGATATTTTATGCCCATTGCCATCTTTAGTGTTTGGTTTAGTTTCAGAAAAATGCTTCTGCCACAAAAAGAAAAACAAAATACCATCCACGGGTACATGCATAAACTGTTTTTTTAGAAGTAGTTGCTTTTCGCGTGGTATAACTTTTACACCACTTTAGACCCTACTCTTGGCTTTAAGCGTTCTGCTTTTCTAAACGGATGGAAATAGAGAAATGTTTTACAACTGTTTCAAGGGAGATAATGAGAGAGGTTTCATAGTTATTTTAACTGAACAACTTACAATTTTTTTCACAACACATATCTCCAACGGTTTTTTATAGCTCATAGCTTACAATAATTTTTTCACATCCCATAGCTGAACCAAACAGGCCCTTGCTATCACTGACTAATCATAAAATATATTTTTATAAGAAACATATATGAAGATACAAATATTGATATTATTTTTTATAAATATAGTCATACCTAGAATTATTTGACTTCTCAAGAAGAGATATTACCATTCTTTTTGGGACCAAAGGAGTATTAGTTGAAGGGGAAAATATGAGTATATGGCTAAGCACTTTTTTTTTAAACCAAATGAATATCATGTTTGTGAGATGAACCAAATGAATAAATATCTTGGAATATATTTTATAAACTGAAAAGAAAAAGGGAAATGTTTATTCACATTTTATGGGCCTGGCCCAACCCACGTACGCATTGGAACGCTCAATTGGACTGTGCCCACGCGACTGTGTCAAAGCCCACCCTTGGTCTATCCTCCCCGCTAGTCCTTGCTGACCTGCGCCGGCGCCCGGCGGCCGCGTCCAAACAAAGCACCCTCGCGCTCTACCACTCCGGTCGTGTAGCTCCCTCACCAGGCCACCACCGTCGCGCGCCCACCGCAGCTACATTCGCCGACCCCTTCTTCAAGCGCTCTGCCCACTCTTTCAACCCAGAAGGTCACTATTATCCTGCGCATGCCCCCTATCCCCCTTCCGGCGTGGCACGCACGTTAGGAGTTCGACCGATTGCCGGAACGTCTTCCGCCGCCTTCTGTGCCATCGAAAGAGCGATGAGGTTTGTGGTGACGAAAGTTTGCAGCGGCGGGGGGAAGGCGCGGGCGGGTGCGCTCCATATAGGCGGTGGCGTCACTGGAATTGAGACGCCGGCGCTGCTGCTGTCCACTCGTAAGGGGCTGCCATCGTTCTTGTCCTGCGACCTCCTTGCCTCCTTGCCACTCCCGGACTCCCTCCTCCTCCATGTCTGCCCTACCCACTTGTAAGTCAGACCCTAAATCCTCCACCTGTTCCAGTTCCCCTCCACTCTGACCGTATATGCTGCTGTTTAAAAACAAAACCCTCAAAGAACTAGCCCCCTCTTGGTCATGTTCTTGTGAGTTGTGGCCGTTTAATTGAACTAGTTTGATCTCCTTTCTCGCAGTATAGAGGGCCCTCCAGCGAAAACAATATCAGCTATTGGGGGTTTGCACGGTATGCTGGGTCTACCTGATCACATTCTTGTAGCGGCGGCAAGTGATTCTATTGAGAGTCTTCCATCAAGTGATGCCGCCAACAAATTTGGTGCCTCTTTTGAAACTCCTTCGGGCCGTAGACTGGTTGGTAACTTAGTCCTTTCATTTTCAGTACTCACGGGTGCATGTTTTGGTGTACATCTAGATTTTTTTTTTGTTGTAAAATTCTTTCAGGTAAAACCATCAGACTATATGGAGTTGATTTCCTGCATGAAGCCTAATATATGGGCCAGTTTGGCTGACGAGGTACCAGCTTGGGTGAATGAGAAACGAAACAAAGTCTCTGTTGACAGGACATTGCGGTGGCTTGATGCATGTATTGCTTTGGACGTGGTAGGATGTTAAGCTATTTTCATCGAACTGTGTTTCATGACTTTAATGTATACATCTTTCTTTACTTTTCAAAGAGTTATCACTATTTAAATGTCTGAAATAGAGCAAAAAATAATGACTAAGTGACATTTCTGATTTATTATCAAGTGGTACTTGGCTACAAGTTTGGAGGCCTCTGGTGCAAGCTTCTTAAAACTGTGGCCAATTTTTTTACAAATGGAATCAACCTCAGTCAACTACCTTCTTTTATTGATTTTTTTTTACAACTCTTACTTCAGGCTTCTGGAACTAATAGTTTTGGTGTAATTGTGGGAGGATCTAGCTTAGAACAACGAAAGCTATGCGCCACTGAAGTGTCGAAGCGGAATGTTTCAGGTGATATTTATATTTCGTTTGATATTAGTAATTTTCAGTAGTTTTTATTTCGTAAGTATCCATCTCGAGGGAAGAGGATGGTACCTATGATTTTTTTTTCTTAACTTTGCATGTTAGCTGTTTATGAATTGACTTGACGATGATGTTTTAATTAGTTTGCTGAAAAACCTACTGATCCTCTTGTTGCCAAATTTGGTGCAGGCTTTTGGATTGCAGGATTTGGCCTTGGAGAGAGTATTGAAGAACGTTGCAGTTTGCTCAATGCCGTAACAGTGAGAAAAAAATCCTTTCTATATCGAATATCGAAGTGTATTGATGATGATCTGCTGTGCTATGCTTAAAATTCTGTTGCCGCTGTTAGGGCTGCATTTATGTTAAAATCATGTGCCAAATATGAACCTGTAAAAATGAGAGAATTTTATGAAATACCACTCAGGCAGAATAGCAATTCATTATTTGTCATCCTGATGAAGTATCTGTGACACATGCCATCCCACATGTTACTGAGATGGTGGCATGCCAGTCTTAAGGGTGGCAAATTGTCAAATGCTTTCAAGTTGTAATTCTACCACACTCTGTACTAAAAAATGTTGGATTGTCCACCCTGCAATAGAAGATTTCAACTGTAAATGGCATTTCATATTAAAGTATCATATTCAGACTGTTTTATCGATTTTGATTTTTGATGTAGCATTGGATGGTCATATTCTGCATTTGTAATATTTGCTTAAAACAAGAATTTGCATGGTTTCATATTACCATACAGCCCCCCTGCCCCTGTGTAGCCTTCGATTGTGATTAAGCTGAAGCCACAGTTCATGCTTTTTAGATGATGTGTTTTCATGTGCTTAGAAGTGTTCTTTCTTTTTGTGCACATGTGACTGATTATTTGCTTTTCTTTCTTTCAGGATTGCTTGCCACCAGAAAAACCTCGGCTCGTGTCTAGGCTTGGTCTTCCAGGTGCCTGTGATGTATTTTTCCCAGTAACTTTGGATTTTCTTGTGTAGTTTCCACAGGGACAATGACTTAGGAAGCTTTGCTTTCTTTTCTTTTTCATCTCAGCTGTGACTGCTTGCATTTTAATCTCATCATCATAATTCACAAGCTAGAGCCTAGCTGTTAAACTTATCCAAAATTTAGCCTATCACTTGTCTGTAGTAATATTTTGCATTGGATGGTGAGTAATTAATGGCGGTTTATAAATACATTGGATAGTATCTTTTGCATTTCCGTGTGAAAAGCTTTACATAGACCTTTTTGACAATTTTCTGAAACTTACATCCTGAGATATCTTTGTATTAAAAAACGATTTTTACAACTATCACTCATTGACAACTCAGTACATTTTGTCTTCTAGAGGAGGTCTTGGAGGGTGTAGCTGCTGGTATCGACCTTTTTGACTCCACGTATGCACATAAATCTTTGTCCTATAGCATTTATGATTCATCAATGTGCTGAAAGAATTTGATTTTTCATATTTTGGAATGACAGGTACATTTACCAACTTACTATGGGTGGTTTCGCACTGATCTTCCCTGTTGACATGGTTGAAAGAGAGATGCAGAATGGTATACTCAACACTAGTGGTGGAGATTCAACAAAGATTAACCTGCATGCTACAACATATCGGTAGGTGATCTGATCTATGTAGATATTGTCTTTGTGCCAAAGTCTGTGCATTGTATTTGAGAAGACATGGTTCTATGTATGTGTACTGATGATTTTGAAAGAAGTTACAACTAAGTTTCCTCAGTTGTATATCGGGCATGCAAAAATTTTGTTGGTAACAGTTTGGAAGTGTTGTAGTTTGGAGTAGACAAATGCGGCCATTTGAGCATTTTGATCAATTAATGTCGCCCCATTTGAGCATTTTGATAAATGAATGTCTTTAGTTCTCTCTGTAGATGCCTATTGGCTGCATTTAATCTGTGGGCAAATACATAATCTATTAACCTACGAGACATACCTAATACACGCAGAAAATAGCTATTGAATTTTGACCACGATGGCTGCTTTTTTTTTGTTCACACACCACGATGGCTGTTGGCTGCTACTGGTGCTCATTTTTAAATGGGAGAAGGGTTGCATATCATATTGTTCATGATGCCTTCAGTATATTGCCTATAAAAGTTGATTATGTTTAATTAGGGTGTGCTGGGGAAGTGGAAGTGATAAATCATAAATGCAACATGATGAAGTGTGATAATTAGAAAAGTAGGATTTGTCAAATCTAAATAATGAATTCATTGACTATTGGTTATGGTTAAAATGGAGGTTCATCACTTTACCAATTGAAACTGCTATTTCCCTGAAGACACCCCATATTGAAGAAATATTTACATAAAAAATTGGATCTGTTGATTTTCTGTTATGTGACTTATGATTTTTGGGTGTTTGTTCCTTCAGGAAGGATATGTCACGGCTAGTTGATAGCTGTAACTGCTTCACGTGCCAGAATCACACCCGTGCTTACCTCAATCATTTGCTCAATGTCCACGAGATGTTGGCTCAGATTCTACTGGAGATGTAAGCAAAGTCGGATTCCCAGTTATGGTTCAGTAGGGAATATATTGAGTGAATGATGTTTATCTTTTCTGTTTATCCTGCAGACACAATACCCATCATTATCTTCGTTTCTTCCATTCCATACGGGAGGCGATAAAGGTTGGAGAGTTCGATCTTTTTCGGCAGGAGTTTGTTAAGAAGAGACACGCCCATTTCACTGCTGTTGCGATCTAGACGTGACCAAGGGTTCATCTGGCCGTCCTCACAAGATTAGCCGATCAATTAATCAGACTTGTGTACACCTGAATCCTTACTAGTCAACTCTCACGTCTATGGTTGATTCTCTAGGAAACTTTCACCTAATGAACTCTAAAACATTTAGGGCTTTCCAATTATCCCCTTCGGATACATGTGAATTGGAATGAAAAATGAAGTAGTTTCCCTAACGACCTCTCCCAATATGTATGGATTGGAGGGGACGATCCTCTAACAAAGGCTAAATATGTATGGATATTTGGTGGACTAAGCTTCCCCTGGAAATTCAAATCTTCATTCATATGGATGATTGCTCATGACAGATTAGAAACAGCGGATCTGCTTAAGAGAAGGAATTGGGATGGTCCAAAGGAGTCTAAGCTCTGGTAAATTAGAAACAGTGGATCACCTGCTGTTCAAATGCCCCCTTGCTATGGTGATCTGGTGCTGGATTAGAGACAGTTTGGGCTTTGGGGTGGTCCTCCATTCCGGTTGATAGAAACAACTGAGTCGAAATTCATGCCACGGCTGGACACAAAGGTAATTGGTGGAGGGTGATGGTGTTTGCAGAGGTAGGGTGTGCGATCTGGAAGACAAGAAATGATTAAGTTTTCTCCAATATTAGCGAACCCCCCACACCCCCCACCACCAAAATCGGTGGCTTACAAATAGTACGGTTTTCTTCAGTACTGGAGGGCGATGGTGAAGCCGGACTAGAACTGTAGAAGGAAAGCGTGTAGTCTGGACAGATTACTGGTCTACTGGACAACCTGAGGACGGCTTCGTGTTTGGCGAACGTGTGCAACATGGCTGGGCTGCTATCGTGTTTTGCCTTTGATGCCTGTCGTACTTTCCTTTTTAACATACGCAAGTAGCCGTCCTGAAATTAGAACTTGATACTGAATCAAAAAATTAGAGCTTGATACGGCTTAGAGACTGTTTGATAGGTGGAGCGGGTATTTTACTATGTTGCTGGTGCTTGTATGCTATTTGCGTTCTGTAAACTGGTAAACCCAGTGTAAAACCTGTTTAAGCTTTCAATAGAAGCAGGACCAAATGTTTTGGGTCTATATTTCCTAAGAAGGTGTTGCGGAGTTTCGTTTGGCTTGTTTGGCCGCATTTTCCAGGTTCACACTTATGCGAGAAGTTTTCCTGATGAACATGAATGCTACATATCGATAGAAAAATTACAAATTCATTACTACCTTAAAAGAAGAATGGGAGTGGTTGTTTAATGCATTCCGCATTGCATTACACTCCCTCCATCCTTGCAATATAAAAGATTCTGAGCTGTCCTAAGTCAACTTATCTTATGTTTGACCAAGTTTGTAGAAAAATCTTTTTGACATTAAATTAGCATCATTAGATACGTTATGATACATATTTTTATGATACCTCTTTGATATAGTAGATATTAATACTCTTATATCTGAATTTGATTAAAATTTAGAATAGTTTAACTTGGAATAAACTCAAGGATGGAGTATTGATTAGGTAAAGGAAAGCACCTTTCACTTAGGATGGTTGCAGAATAAATATTGGTTACTCTTATAATCCGTACTTTTCAGCTTGTTTTTTCAGCTGGAACAGTGTTTTTCTCCTGCAACAAATCAGCCGAAACAGTGTTTCGGCTTGTTTTTTCAACGAAGCGAACGGGCCATTGTAAATCTAAGTTCAGTATTACCAATTACCACGTAGGCAGTCACGTGCTTCTACTTCTACACTATAGAGGAAACGTGACTTGCTGTTTGTCAATCACAATCAGTGGGAATATAGTTGAATATTACAATATTGGTATAGTCATATGCTTCTAGAGAGGAGACGCGATGACTTGCTGTTTCAATCAGTGGGTTATCACAGTCAAGAAAAAATGGTATCCTTTTTGGTTTTGGAACACAAATACCATCGTCAAACATGAAGGTGGTTAGGTGGACACCTCAGCTGACGACGCTAACACGTATGGGCACTACACCGTACCATGGGTTTTTTCTTACGTACCAGGTGGCGCAGGGAGAACCAACAACGGTAATTTATTAAGGGCAGCTCCAATGCTTATGTTCTTAGCAAGACTGTGATCCTATCACGTGGTGCTCTATACTATAGCAAATAAAAGTTTCATTGTATAAACTTGATAGCACAAATAAAAGTTTCATTGTATAAACTTGATAGCACAAATAAAAGTTTCATTGTATAAACTTGATAGCACAAATAAAAGTTTCATTGTATAAACTTGATAGCACAAATAAAAGTTTCATTGTATAAACTTGATAGCACATGCATATTAAAATAGGCTCCCTACAGAATAAAGATATCCATCTTCCAAGCTCTCTATAGCAAGATGCTCATGTTTATGTCCTTTAGTTGTTGTTGTTTTTATTCTTTGTACATGGTGCTCAAGTAAGCAACAGAATACAAAGCTAGCACCCTTCTCCATTGTATTGCATCTCTCATGTTCCTTTGTCTCTTTTTTACACCTCCTTAATACAAATGATCACTACCAAAATGATAAAGTTCTCCTAGTATTCTAAGTAGTAATAAGAACACTACACCAGTCCTAGCGGCATATGGGAATCCTCCTTAGAAGGCATTTGGTAGGAAAAAGCTCATACTAAATGTTGAATGCTAAATACTAGGAAAACCTCACACCACTAGGAGAAGGCGCAGATTCTGGTTGTGGATGTTGGAGTTGTCTTAATGAGAAGGAATTACATTGAATATCCATTTATCTAAATATACATCGTGGCTTTTGTGGAACTCTGATGGAACATGTAAAATAGTTGGTCCTTGTGTTGTTTCTCAAGTCATACTTCCTGTATTCTGAATTGCAAGTTGGTTTAGATTTCTAGATACAGCTTTTGTTCTTGGTTTGAAACCCGCTAATCAGGAGGTGGAGAATGATTATTCTTATGATCTGTTTGGATGTAGATATTGAAGGTGCTGAAATTGAATTGGGTTCAATACAAAATCATCCTTGGTATTGAAATTGGGCACAATACAATTAAATTTTGTTGTTTGGATGTGCATTGAATTAGATGTTGGAATTTGGGAGGGGCGCCAATGTGAGGCAAAAGTGTCGGCAGATGTGTGGAAGAAGTGGTGGAGGAGCATAGGGGCCTAGGAGTGTGGTTGCCCTGGAGCATCGTGGCAGAGGAGTGTCGCGGGGCGGGAAGAGGGTCGACGTTCGGTGGCAGAGGAGTGTGGGGGAGCATTGAGATGAAGACTTGTCGTCGCCCATGAGCTTCGGGCCAAAGGGAGCATTGCCCAGGAGCGTCAGGGAGGAGGAGCGTCGGGCGGAGGAAGGGGGTTGGTGGCCAACAACAGAGGAAGGTTGGAGCATAGGACTTTCGTGCGGAGGTGGTGGAGGCGCGTCGGGGTGCTTGTTAAATGCCGAACAATACGGAGGGAGATGGCTCGGTATTGAAGATAAGGGGTTGCAAGTATAGCGAAACCGCTTGGTATTGGGGGTCCAAGGCCAATTCCAAATTCTAAACCGTTCAAACAGCTCTATTTGGAGCTAGCCAATATCAATTCCAAATTCTAAGGCTGAATATCTAAGTCTAAACAGGTGTTGGTGAATCTAGAGCCCTAATGGCTAAATGGAGTTTAACCCTTAGTGGGTGATCCAACATGGAATACCAAAGAGGGGAGGGTGGCAACACCTGGATGCCATGGAAGGAAAATCAGGATTTCGCGTGCCCTCTTTAGTTTTTGCATTAATTTCTTGCAACCATTGTTCACATTTATGTTCTTGAGTGTCTGAAGTGACTGAATAATAATCTAGGATTGACCCTAGGGAAGTGTCTCTCTAGTTGATAAGTTTTCTTTCTTGCAAATTAAGAGCCTATTGCTAGTGTGCTCTTTTTTAAGGACATGACTTTTAGAGACCGATTCACTACCATCTTGGATTCAATCCTTTTAGGCCTCTACGTGCTTGAAGAATCATCCTTTACAAGTATTTCTGTATATTATTGCACTGGTATTAGGAAAAAACAATGTAAATGCTTATTTTCTCTATCAAAAAGAATAATAGTACAATTAAGGATGAAACCAGATCAGATATAGATGGATATCAGTGATCCTGCATTCTGTCCCATATACCGCATTTTGTCCCATATTTTTTCTCGAATCTCAGATCCGGATACAAATATATCGGATATTGATATCTATCTCATATACATATCAGAAATCCAATCTTGAGTACTTGGATTTGGATACGATCGAATATTAAATGTTCGGATTCAGATATGGACTATCCATATAGGGTTATGACTCTTTCGTGACAGACTGGTATCAGAAAATATCCGTGCCATTTTCATCCCTAAGTACAATTATTTTTTTAGCAACCCTAAGTACAATTATTAGGGAAGACTAGCTAGGGAATGAATTTTTTAAATTTAATGTGGGCCTTGGTTTAATTCGATATCTTCATTGTAAAAATTGTAGCAACCACTTAGTTTTTTTATCGATTATTTTTTGTTTTTTAGCCTTTTTTTAAAAAAAATCACAAATATGCCCTGGAGGTATGCTTTCAAAATCTGGACCCTTAGCTCGGTGCCATCATTGGTAGCGCCGAGCTTACACGTCTCGGCACCATAGATTTTGGCGCATAGGTCTTGAGCTCGACGCAGACGTGGCGGTAACTTGACAGGCACCTTGACACCGTAGATCTTGACGCTGAGCTTGACTCCATAGATCTTGGCGCCGTGGTTATTGGCGCCAAGCCCTGTCTTACGTAAGGGCCCTCCCTTCGTTTCTCTCTTCCTCTCTCTTTACCGCTCCCGAGCCAGTGCCGCCAGCGCAGCTGCACCGTCGAGCCGGACCCCATGCCCGCCCCCGCACCCGCGCCGTCCACCACGCCCGCGCCCACGCCGGCAGCTGCACTGCGCGCTTCACCGCCTTGCAAGGCTTGCCTCGCCGCATGGAGCGCGGGCCGCCCCCACCCCGCGCCGCGCCCCCTCCCGTCCCTCGCCGCGCGGCCT